ATATTAACAGTGACCCACACAAGAAACTGAAGAGGACATTAACACAATCAATGACATAAAACCATTACAATGTAAAAAATTTCCAAAGTCCAAATAAACAAAATGAACATTTCACCTATGAGTGGAAGATGCAAAAGGAGGGGAAAAAGAAACAAGAAAGTATGGAAAATAAAGTATAAACTAAGATGACAGAAATGAATCATAATAGAACAATATTAAGTGAATCAAGGTAAAGATTGCCTGATAAGATTTTTAAATATAAAAAATATTTTTTAAATGTTGTTATTGATATTATTTTTTTAAGATAGAGACAAAGGGTGAGGGAGAGAGAGGGAGAATCACTGATAAGAGAGAAACATCAATTGGCTTCCTCCTACATGCCCCTACTGGGGATCAAGCCCACAACCTGAGCATTGCTCTGACTGGGAATTGAGCCAACAACCTCTTGGTGACAGTCAACACTGAGCCAAACCAGTCAGGCAGAATGTTAAAAATTTAAACAAAACATATTGAAAATAATTGAAAAAATACAGAGGTAAATTATGAATATAAGAATGACCCAAGCCCACATTTTGACAAAAGGTTGACTCCAAGGTAAGAAAGGCACAAAGGAGGAGAACACTGCAGACCATACAAGCAATAGTAGATGCAGAACATGTGCTCGTGAAGGTGCTCATTCATGACAGTACAGCCCAATGAACTCAAATGCCCTTGTTCCCGTAAAGTTGTGTAAAAATAGTATGACCAGCAAGCAGAGGACACGTGTTATTTTTCAGTGCACCTGGAGTGTTCAGTTTCCATGTGAAGCCCTCAGTCCTCATGACTGCTGCTGGAGGGATGCAGAAGGTCCCATGGGGAAGTGTGAATGGTGCTCAGAGCTCTCGTTGTGGTTCAGGCTGGACGTGAGTCTCCAGAGGTCTGGAGAGGAGGGCACGGAAAGACAAGGCACACTCAGGAAAGAGAAAATATGTACACAACACGCTAGCGATATTTGAAGAACCTTCTTAAGACCTGAAACAGCCCAGGTTTTGACCCCTTCTCTCACCCTCCACCCTACAAACCTTAAGGGTCAGTAACCTTAGCTCACCCTCACCTGTTCCTGGTTTCTGGGTGTAGCACACATGCACATGTCTGAATGGTTGTGTGCTCTCCCCAGACTTATATGTTAAAATCCTAGCTCCTAAAGATGATAGGCGGTGGGGCCACTGGTTGGTCCTTATAAGCCCTTGCTAATGGGATTGGCGTCATGAAAGAGGCTCCAGAGAGATCCCTAGCCTCTCCCCACCATGTGAGGACACAGCGAGAAGGCTCTAGCTGTGAACCAGGAAGGGGGCCCTCACCAGAAGGTGACCTGGAGCCTTGACCTTGCACTTCCCAGGCTCTAGAATTGAGAAAAAAATTTCTCTTGTTTTTAATTGATTCAATTTGTGGTTCTAACAGCCCTAATGGACTAAGACAACATGTTTCAAAACTTCTGTGGCGAGAGAATCCTGGATCAAGACAATGTTTAAAAAAAATTTTAAGTAGAAAATTTTGGATTCTTGGATTTTAAAATATTGGATCGGTTTGTGAAAGGGTGACTGTGTGTGTGTGTTTGTGTGTACATGTCCAAAAAAATCTTTGTACAGTGTAAAGTTTACTAATTCCAGAATTATAAAAGCTGAAAATTTAGTTATTATTCTACATATAATTCTTTTATACTTAGATTGATACATTTTCAATAATAAATTATTTTAACTTTTTGTATGTAGATCCCTCTGATTGAAAATGTGACAATATGAAAAAACATCCTTCAGAACTGCCTGACATTAAGCTGAAGGGAAGTCCTACAACTATGAAATTAAAGAAGCCAAACTGATATTGGTAGGAGGGGCAGAGTGGGGGAGGTGTGGATGAGCTGGTTCCACACCCATGTGTGGCAGACAAAAATCAGGAGGGATACCTTGGTTGGGAAAATCCTCCCTCAGGTGTAAGGCATCCCTGTCCTACACCAGTACCCAGCTGAGGTTCCAGTGCCAGGAAGAGAAGTCTCCATAACTTCTGGCTATAAAAACCAGCAGGAACTCAGGCTGAGGGACATTGAGGCTTCTGGAGCCCCAGGCAGTTCCTCTTAAAGAGCCCACACAGGGTCTTACTCAGACTTTCTCCTTTTGGGTTCCAGCATTGGGGAGGCAGCTTGAAAGGCACCAGAGATCTATGGGGAAGAACTGAGTTGTTTGGCATTGGGGTGAGGGCTGGAGAGCTTTCTCCCTGATTGATGTGCTGGTGGAAGCCATTGTCCCTTTGGTGAGGCCTTTCCTTAGGGGACCGGCAAACAGGTGCCATATCTGGGACTCCAGCAACCTGGCTCACACTGTTTTCCACACCCTGGTGATTCCTTGAGGCCCTACCCCACCCAACATTCAGGCCCACCCAAGCTGTTTCCAGTGGTTTTACCATAGGATTGGCCTGTTTGGGCTCCTACTTCAGATTTTCTGAAATTCTCTCAAACAAGCAGCATCTGGCTTCAGTGAGCCCCATACCTCTCACTAAGTGGTCCCAGGCCTGGCACTAGAAGCAGCTAACCTTGGTTCATAGGTTGGCTTTGCCTGGGCACCTCCAAACCCAGCACAAGAAGCAACCATCAGCAGATTGCTTTGTAGCTTATGCCTGTTGGCCCCAGGTAGAAGACAGGCAGTGGCTGACCTTGCCCCAGAGCCAGCAGACCCAGTGGACAGCTTCAGATAACATCAAAGTTCCACCATGCAAACACCTCCACAAGTGACACACTCAGAGAGTGGACTCAGTGGGTACCAGAGCCCTGCTGAAGTAAGTCTTGCTCTGTGTTGTGGGTCCCTGCACAGCTGAACATCCAAGGTAGTCAGAGGTTGGTGATCACTGGGCACAGCCAGTCCTTGCAGCCAATAAGCCTGAGTAAAATCCTTCCTACTGATGTGCCAACAGCAGTCAAGACTCAATACAACAGAAGGCTGTACGGTCCACCTGAGGGGTGCACCATGAGGGCCCAGTTGGGGTGATCAAGGAGGCTGTGCCACCGGACTCTATAGGACACTTACTTTAACAGGCCACCCTAGGAAGCCTAGGAGACATAGCAACTCTATCTAATACATAGAAACAAACACAAGGAGATAGCCAAAATGAGGAGACAAAGAAACATGTTCCAAATGAATGAATAGAACAAAACTCCAGGGAAAGAACTAAATGAAATGGAGATAAGCAATCTAACAGGTACAGAGTTCAAAACATTTCTTCTAAGGATGCTCAATGAACTTAGTGAGAGTGTCAAGGAACTTTGTGAGAATGTCAAGGAACTTAATGAGGGCCTCAAGAGCATTATAAAGGACCAGCCAGAAATGAAGGCTGCACTAAATGAAATAAAGAATAATTTAAAAGGGATCAATAGTAGAGTAGGTGAAGCCAAGAAGCAAAACATTGATTTGGAATATAAGGAAGCAAAGACTGCCCAATCAGAACAACAAAAAGAAAAAAGAATCCAAAAAAATGAGGATTGTGTAAGGAGCCTGTTGGACAATTTCAAGTGTACCAACATTCACATCATGGGAGCGCCAGAAGGAGAAGAGAGAGCAAGAAATTGAAAACCTATTTTAAAAAATAATGACAGAAAACTTCCCTAACTTGTTGAAGGAAACAGACATACAAGTCCAGGTAGCACAGGGAGTCCCAAACAAGATGAACCCAAGAGGTCCACACCAAGACACATCCTCATCAAAATGCACAAGGTTAAAGACAAAGAGAGAACTTTAAAAGCAGCAAGAGAAAAGCAGTTAGTTACCTGCAACGGAGCTCCCATAAGACTGTCAGCTGATTTCTCAAAAGAAACTTTGCAGGCCAGAAGGGAGTGGCAAGAAATATTTTGTGATGAAAAGCAAGGACCTACAACCAAGATTACTCTATCTTGCAAAGCTATCATTTAGAATTGATGACCATACAGAGTTTCCCAGACAAGAAAAAGCTAAAGGAGTTCATCCCCACCAAAACCAGTATTATATGAAATGTTGACGGGTATTCTTGAAGAATAAGATAAAAAAATATGAACACAATAACATGGCAATAAGTATATATCTACTAGCAATTGAATCTACAAACAAAATGAGCAAGCAGAACAGAAACAGACTCATAGATAGATACAGAGAACTTTTTGTTGGTTGCCAAATAGTAGGGGTGTTGGGGAAATGGGTGAAAAAGATGAAGGGATTAAGAAGTACAAATTGGTTATTAAACTGAGGAATCTCAAAGGGAAGAGGAGAGGTAGGGTGGGAAGAGAGAAACCAAAGAACTTACATGCATATATGCATAACCAGTAGACACAGACAATAGTGTGGGGGAGGCAGGAGGGTGGCAGGAGTGGGGAGGAGAGGGTCAAGGGGGGAAAAGGGGATATCTGTAATACATTCAACAATAAATATACATTTAAAAATAAAAATAAAATAATATGTGACAAAACAAACACTACTCAAAATTCATAGAACTAAGTGTAAATTTCTACGCTTGGGGTTATATGAGACAAGGACATTATGTTGGGAAGCTGGAGTTGAGAAGAGGGAAATAGAGTAAAAATCCCTGGGAAATAGCCAAAACTTCAGGATCAATTTTAAATTTTCAAGGTTTATGAAAGTGGTGGTCCTCAAGTCAAGATCTCTCAGGGACAAATCTCTCTGACATCTGGGTTTCAGATGAAATTAATAGAAAATTGAATAAGGTCTCTCTGGTAGGATGAGAGAAGAGCTGGAAGGAGAGATCAAGAAGTCCCAAAGGGGGACAGGGATATGTGGGGCTGGATGGTGGGGGATGGGCAGCCTTCTATTCTCATTCTCCCTCCCCACCCTCAGGAACCTTTGTGACAAGGCCACAGCTCTGTGATGCGGTCCTGGGTTTCTGCAGCAAGTGAGCTCCCAGTGCTGTTCCCTGAGGGCAGCACTGCCATTCAGATGATGGAGGACCCTCTTTTACCTCTGAAAAGTGTTGTTGTTACCTGGCAGAACACCACTCCTCCCTGGGTGACTGATACCATCTTTGCCATGGTGTGTGGAGTGGTGCTCTTCTTTGTCTTACTCCCCTGGTTGGAGAGGGATCCATCCTTACCACCACCTAGGAGACATAGAAACATCAGGAAGGTAAGGAGCCCTTGGCCCAGACCCAACAGAGATTACCTTTTTTCTATTTTTTTCCCCACTTTTCTGAATCACTTAGAGTCTTTTTTTTTATTGGGAAAATTATTGTTTTATTCTATAAAAATCAATTGACTTTATTTTTTATTTATTTATTTATTTTTTTGTTACAGATGTTCCTCATTGTTAACCCCCTTGCCGCCCCCCTCCCCATCTCCTCTGCCCCATCCCTGGCTTTGTTATCCATGTCCATTGGTTATGCATACATGCATATAAGTTCTGTGGTTTATCGCTTCCCATCCCCGCCACGCCCTCTTCTGAGGGATGTCAGTCTGTGCCCTACTTCCATGTTTCTGGGTCTACCCTATTCCTCAGACTATTATGTTCATTATATTTCATATATAAGTGAGATCATGTGGAATTTGTATTTTTCTGCTTGGCTTATTTCACTTAGGATAATACTTTCCAGGTCCCTCCATGTCATCTCAAAGGATAAGAGATCTTTCTTTCTTACAGTTGCATAGTACTCCATTGTGTATATGTACCACTTCTATCTTATCCATTCGTCTACTGATGGACACTTGGGCTGTTTCCAGATCTTAGCTATTGTAAATAGCGCTGCTATGAACATGGGGGTGCATATATTCTTTCTGATTGGTGTTTCAGTCTTCTTAGGGTATATTCCTAGAAGCGGGATCACTGGGTCAAAAAGAAGTTCCATTTTTAATTTTTTGAGGTAACACCATATTGTTTTCCATAGTGGCTGCACCAGTCTGCATTCCCACCAGCAATGTACTAGAGTCCCCTTATATCCACACCCTAACCAACACTTGTTTGATGATTTGTTGATGGCGGCCATTCTGGCAGGTTTGAGGTGATACCTCATTGTTGTTTTAATTTGCATCTCTCTGATGATTAGTGATGATGAGCATTTCTACATATGTCTCTTGGCCATTTGTATGCCCTGTTTGGAGAGATGTCTATTCAGCTCCTCTGCCCATTTTTTAATTGGGTTCTTTGTCTTTAGTTGAGTTGTATGAGCACTCTAAATATATTGGAAATTAACCCCTTATCTGATATATCATTGGCAATGATGTTCTCCCATACAGTGGATTGCCTTTGCATTTTGATGAATGTTTCTTTTGCTGTGCAGAAGCTTTTTAGTTTGATGTAGTCCCATGTGGTCATTTTCTCCTTTGTTTCTGTTGTCTTAGGCGATGTATCAGTGAAAATTCTGTGTATGATGTCTGAAACTTTGTTGCCTACATTTTCTTCTAGAATTTTTATGGATTCACGGGTCACATTTAAGTCTTTCATCCATTTTGAGTTTATTTTTGTGTACGGTGTAAGTTGATGGTCTAGTTTCATTTTTTTGCATGTAGCTGTCCAATTTTCCCAACACCATTTATTAAAGAGGCTGTCTGTACTCTACTGTGTGCTCTTGCCACCTATGTCAAATATTAGTTAAGTATATTGCCTTGGGTCCTTTTCTGGGTTCTCAGTTCTGTTCCATTGGTCTACATGCCTGTTCTTGTGCCAGTACCAGGCTGTTTTGATTACAGTTGCTTTGTAGTATAACCTGATATCTTGTATTGTGATCCCACCTACTTTGTCCTTCTTTTTCAAAATTGCTATGGCTATTCGGAGGCGTTTTTGGTTCCATATGAACTTTTGAAGTATTTGTTCTAGTTCTGTGAAATATGTCGTCGGTATTTTGATAGGGATTGCATTGAATCTATATAGATTGCTTTGGGTAGTATGGACATTTTAATGATGTTAATTCTTCCAATCCATGAGCAAGGTATGTGCTTCCACTTTTTTATATCTTCCTCTATTTCTTTTTTCAATGTCCTGTAGTTTTCTGCAAATAGGTCCTTTACTTCTTTGGTTAAGTTTATACCTAGGTATTTTAATTTTTTTGCCGCAATGGTAAATGGGATTGTTTTTTCAGTTTCTCTTTCTGTGAGTTCATCATTGTTGTATACGAATGCCGTTGATTTCTTGACGTTAATTTTGTATCCTGCTACTTTGCCAAATTCATTTAAGTCTAGTAGATTTTTGATGGAGTCTTTAGGGTTTTCTATGTATAATATCATGTCATGTGCGAATAATGAGTTTCACTTCCTCCTTTCCAATTTGGATCCCTTTTATTTTTTCCTTATGTCTGATTGCTGTGGCTAAGACTTCCAGTACTATGTTAAATAAGGGTGGCAAAAGTGGACATCCCTGTCTTGTTCCTGTTCTTAATGGAAATGTTTTTAGTTTTTGCCCATTGAGTATGATGTTGGCTGTAGGTCTTTCATATGTGGCCTTGATTATGTTGAGATATGATCCCTCTATTCCCACATTGCTGAGCGTTTTTATCAGAAATGGACGCTGGATTTTGTCAAATGCTTTTTCAGCTTTTATTGATATGATCATGTGGTTTTTATTCTTCATTTTCTTTATGTGGTGTATCACATTTATTGATTTGCGAATATTGTACCAGCCTTGCATCCCTGGAATGAATCCCACTTGGTCATGATGAAAAATTTTTTTTTGATGGATTGCTGGCTTTGATGTGCTAGTAGTTTTTCAGGATTTTGGTGTCTATGTTCATCAGGGATATTGGCCTGTAGTTTTCTTTCTTTGTAGTGTCTTTATCTGGTTTTGGAAATAGAATTATGCTGGCCTCATAGAATGAGTTTGGAAGTCTTTCTTCACCTTGAATTTTTTGAAATAGTTTGAGGAGAATGGGTGTTAGTTCTTTGAATGTTCGGTAAAACTCCCCCGTGAAGCCATCTGGGCCTGGGCTTTTGTTTGCTGGGAGCATCTTGATTACCTCTTCAATTTTCTTAGTTGTTATTGGTCTGTTCAAGTTTTATATCTCTTCCTGTTCCAGTTTTTGGAGACTGTGTGTTTCTAGAAATTTGTCCATTTCACTTAGATTGTTGAATTTGTTGCCACATAGTTGTTCATAGTAGCTGTTAAGGATCTTTTCTATTTCTGTGGTGTCAGTTGTTACTTCTCCTCTTTCATTTCTGATTTTGTGTATTTGGGTTCTCTCTCTTTGTTTCTTGGTGAGTCTAGCTAAGGGTCCATCAATCTTGTTTATCTTTTCAAAGAACCAGCTCTTCGTTTCATTGATACTTTGAATTGTTTTTTTTTTGGGGGGGGGGTCTCTATGTCATTTATTTGTGCTCTGATCTGTACTATCTCCTTCCTTCTACTTCCTCTGGGGTTTTCTTTTTGTTTGCTCTCTAGTTCTTTAAGTTGTGAGGTTAGGTAGTCTATTACAGATTTTTCGTGTTTCTTGAGGTAAGCCTGTAGTGCTATAAACTTCCCTCTCACAACTGCTTTTGCTGCATCCCATAGATTTTGTGTTGTTATGTCTTCATTTTCATTGGTTTCCAGGAAGTTTTTAATTTCTTTCTTGATTTCCTCGGTAACCCATTCATTGTTTAATAACCTGCTATTTAGCTTCCATGTGTTTAAATGTCTTTGCATGTTCTTGTTGCAATTGATTTCTAGTTTCATGCCATTGTGATCTGAGAAGATGTTTGATATGATTTCAATCTTCTTGAACTTGGAGAGATTTAGTTTGTGTCCTATCATGTGGTCTATCTTTGAGAATGTCCCATGTGCACTTGAGAAGAATGTGAATTCTGTAGTTTTGGGGTGTAATTCTTTGTAGAAATCTATAAAATCTATTTGGTCGAGAGCTTCATTTATAGTCTCTGTTTCCTTGCTAATTTTTTGTTTAGAGGATCTATCCAGTGCTGTCAACAGGGTGTTGAAGTCCCCTGCTATGATTGTATTGCTGTCGATTTCTCCTTGGAAGTCCTCCAGAAGATTTTTAATATATTTTGGTGCTCCTATATTGCGAAAAGATATGTTTAACAAGGTTATATCTTCCTGTTGGATAGATCCTTTCAATATTATGTAGTGGCCTTCTTTGTGTCTAGTTATGGTCTTCGTTTTGAAATCTATTCCATCAGATACGAGTATTGCTACTCCAGCTTTTTTTCCTTTCCACTTGCTTGGAAAATTTTTTTCCATCCCTTCAGTTTCAACCTATGTGAGTCTTTTGTTGTGAGGTGGGTCTCTTGTAAGCAACATATAGATGAGTCATGCTTTCTTATCCAATCAGCTACTCTGTCTTTTTATCGGAGCATTCAGTCCATTTACATGTAAAGTGATTATTGATATGTACTTATTTATTGCCATTTTTGTTTAGTGTGGTTATATTTTTCTTCCTATTTCTTCTACTGATTATAGCAGTCCTTTTAACATTTCTTACAGTGCTGGTTTGGTGCCAATGTATTCCCTTAGCCTTTTTTTGTCTGGGAAACTCTTTGTTTGACCTATTTGAATGGTAGCCTTGCTGGGTAGCGTAGTCTTGGATTCAGATCCTTGTTTTTCATAACCTTGATTACTTCATGCCATTTCCTTCTGTGGCCTGTAGTGTTCTTGTGCGAAGTCAGCTGAGAGCCGTATGGCGTTTCCTTTGTAGGTAACCTGTTGCTTATCTCTTGCTGCTTTTAGGATTCTCTCTTTGTCTTTAATTTTTCACATTTTAATTACTATGTGTCTTGGTGTGGGCCTGTTTGGGTTCTTCTTACTTGGGACTCTCTGTGCTTCTTGAACTTGAATGCCTTCTTCCACACCAAATTAGGGATGTTTTCTGTCACTATTTCTTCAAATATGTTCTCTATCTCTTGCTCATTTTCTTCTTCTTTAGGGACTCCTATGATGCAAATATTATTACATTTCCAGTTGTCCCACAGTTCTCTTAAGCTGTCTTCCTGTTTTTAAATTGTTTTTTTCCTTTTGGTTTTCTGATTGGTTGATTTTTTTCTACCCTGTCTTCTAATTCACTGATCCAGTCCTCAGCTTCCTCTACTCTGCTTTTCAGATTTTCCAATGTGTTTTTCATTTCTGATATGTCATTTTTTATCTCTTCCTGGTGGTTTTTTAATTTCTAATTGGTTGATTTTTAGATTCTCGATGTCCTTACTCATGCTGTTGAGCTTCCTCAAGATCATGGCTCTGAATTCCAGCTCTGTTAACTTGCCTAACTGCTCCACATTGATCTCATCTTCGGTGGAGATCTCTTGTTCTTTTATTTGGCTTCTGTTTCTGTGTTTCACCATTTTGGCTATCACAGTGGGCTTTGGAGCATGTCAAGTTTTCCCTGTGGGTGTTGATCTGCTGTTTGTGGCTCCCTCTGCTGGATTTAGATGAGCTAGGGAAGTCCCATGCTAAACACCACTGACAAATCTTACTTTCCTGGTTAAAGTTGCTAGCCCAGGAAAGGTACTGTTATACTCTAGCTTTTTGCCTGGAGGCCAGCAGTTGAGATTACTGGAAGAGTTTTGGGTTTTCAGTTGATTGAAAAACTCCCTCAGGTGCTCAGCATAAGGGGATTTCCTGAGGGTGGGGCAGATGCTTGTTGTTAGTTAAACCTCAAAGAGCATTTCAATTGCCCACAGGGTGGGGTTGGATCTCCTAGGGAGGGGCTGCTGCCTTTCCCCAGAGCCCTGGGAAGGAGCAATATGGCCACAGTCCTGCGTGGCAGCAACTTAGCAAAAGCTCTGAGTGCCTTCCAAATCCCAAGTGTTCCTACACAGTTTCAGTCCCGTCTGCCCTCCCTCTGCTGGAGCCCAAGGTGAGTGGTTGTAGTTTTTTTAGCCTTTGTCCCGGCTCTGTGCTGTGGAGCTGCTTGGGATTTTAACGCCAGGGCGCTGCTCCCTGCTAAGGCCGCTGCTGTCTGTGGGCTCCCAGCCCCCATCTCATGCATTCGCAATCCTACCAGGATTGAGTCAGTGTCCCTGGTTATATGGTCCTTGCAAGCTGCTTTTCTGTTGCTTTTTCCCCGTCGATTTGTCTGTGTTATAGTTGTAATTCCAGTTTGGTTCTGGGAGACGGTCTATGTAGCTTCCGTTCACTCTGCCACCATTTTGGAATCACCAGACAGAGTATTGAGTTAGGAAAGAATAGAACCACTATTTCCAGGAAAAAAAAATAGCAGTTCCTCCTTCTAGGAACAAGCCGGATGGGGCAGGGGTTAGAGTGGGCATGAAGATTTCTATCCAAAGATCTAGACCAGGAGTCTAGATCCTGGTGGGGGAGGGCTCCAGGGCACAGCCCCCAGTGCAGTGACCAGTGGCCAATGACTTGATGCTAAGAGCTGGATCTCTGTGGGGGACAGGCCCAGAGCCCTGGTTCACCAGCCACCTTCCCACAGCAGGTGTCTTAGGGGAGCCTTTCCTCTGTGGGGCTGATCCTAGGGCAGTGGGGAGCCTCTGAGAGCCTCTAGGCAGAAATGGGGGAGGGCTGTGGCCTCAGGAAGCAGAATCCCACCTGAGGGAGTTCCCACGGGCTGTAGTTCTGAGCATGTGTGTGTTTCTCGAGCAGAGGAGCAGTGACGGAGGAAATCAATGGTGGGTCTTACATAGAAAATTCTTTTTTGCATTCTTCAAAGAAGAAAAATAAAAATATATTACCCACTTTAAAAATAAGTAATAAGCATCTGTTAAATTAATGTGGTTTTATTTTGATCATAGAATACTCACTGTACCATGAATGTTTGAATACTTTTGGAGAAGAAAAAAATAAAGCTAAGCATTAAAGAAACTCTGATACTTAAAAATAATAAAAATAAGTAAAAGAAGAAACACGAGAGATCCCCAGTAGTAAACGCAGAGAGTTATGTTGAGCACAAACACTGAGCATCTGCCGGTTGTCTAGAGAGAAAGTGAGAAGGGGTCCCAGCCCCTCGTTTTCTTTTGTCTGTCAGCGTCCAGTGGAGCCGAGGTGGATGAGCAGCTGCAGGAAGGAAAATGGATATTTGAGAGGTGAGCCTCTGTCCCTCGGCCCTCGCTGGAGAGTTTGCCTCCATCTGCCTGTCCCTGAGGGCCTAAGGCCAGGTCCCCGAGGGTGGCAGCAGCAGAGACGTCTCTCAGGAAACATTGCCCTGGGGTCTCTGCTGGAAAGGTGGTCAGACCCGGACACTCCCCAGATTCCATGTAGGGAGGAAGCCTCCAGGGCCTGGAAGGTGGGTGTTTCCCCAGCAGGGGTGTCCCAGCAGGGACGTTTGGGGTGTCCCAGAAGAGATGTTTGGGCTGTCGGGAACCAATAGTGCCTGACCAGAAGCTGGGACCTTGGGTCCAACTGTGGACATGTTGTGTCCTTGTGCTCAGGTTCCTCTGAGGTGCCTGTTCCTTCCCCACAGTGAAGTTTCGAGGCCCCAGGGGTAGTGGATGTAGAAGCTCTGTGAATGACAAGGTGCGACCTGTCACAAGCCTTGTCATCTCTGCCAGCGGTCATGGGGCCATGACCCTAATGCTTGGGCTTCTGAGTCCTCTCCCAGGTGCCTCCCCTGAAGGGCCATTGTACTCAGCCTCCAGTAGGCCCCCCAGCCCTGCTCCACCATGTGACCCGTCTCCTCTTTCCAGCCTGCAGAGGGTGCCTGCAGGACCTGGATGAGGTTCGGGGCCTGATTACTCTTCTTGGAAGGTATGAAATCTTCCCCTTCTCTCCTGGGTCCTCACCCTCCCGAGTCTGTGATGTGACCCCAGGCCTACAGGCCGCCTTGGACTGACCTGGGAGCAGGGCCATGGGGATGGGGTGTGGCGATGGCCCTGGGGTGGGGGACAGCAGGGGCACTGGGAAGTCAGTCTCGGGCCATGGAAGACCCTGGGCCCAGGTGCCCACCCCTGGCCTGCCTCCTGCTCCTGGGTGCAGCCTGTGCTCCATCTCCTGCAGCCACCTGGGGAGGCCACCTGACCTGCACAGCTTTCGTCAGCTCTCCTGTCAAGACCGCCCCAGTGAGGTGTGTGGCATAGCACCCCAGGGAGCCGCCCTGCCCTGCAGGGAGCCTGTGGGAGATGCTGCTCCTGCCACTTCCCCGTCGGCTTCCCCAGTTCCTCCGACACAGTGTCTTCTACCTCTGGCCTTCGCCTTGTCTCCAGGACGGACAGTCTCCTCAGTTTCCCATCATCCACAGGCATCCCTGACTGCCTCTCAGCCACCAGGGCCCCTCCTTCCCCTGGATGGCCTTCCGTCCCCGCCACCTGCCCTCTCCCATTCCCCCCCGTGTCCCCCTGATTCAGAGGCCCACCCTCCACCTCCCACAGCCTCCTCTGTGTCTCCACCACTAGATACCACTTTGACTCTTCCCCGGTGGGACTCAGTGGCACTGCCCCTGGGCACCGTCCCACAGAGCTCACGCCCACTGCACCCTCGGTTCGCTTCTCCCACCCCCGCCATCTCAGGTGTCAGGCAGTTAAGCTGTCCTATTTCAGCCCTGTCCTTGTGGCAGGCGACTGCCAGAGCCTTGTGCCTCTCAGTGTCCTCACAGTGCGAGTCCCAGCAAGAGCACCCGTCCCACCATCCACCAGAGGCCTCGCTCCAGGAAGACCCCACAAACCGACAGGCAGAGTCTAATACCCTCTCTTTGCTCAGCTCTGATGAGCAGAATCTTCTGGAAATACAAGTCACAAAGAAAATCAACATAAAGAATTTGAAAGAAAATGAAAAAGATACATTATATCCAGAGCAAATGAATCCAAATTTCCACCTGAATCCTTTGGGGAATACGTGGAAATCACTGGGTGCTGAGCAGGACACCACAACCTCTCAGCCCTTCAGGAGCATGAAGGACAAACAAGAGCAACTGCCTGGTCTTTATTTCCTCTATAACCAGGGTTTTTCGGGTCTCCCCTCTCTGCACAGTGAATCCCTGGTGGCCACCTCCTCGATCCCCGAGAATTCTTCTGCACTGCAGTCTCCCTCTTTCTCAGTCAATGGGTTCTTGAATGCCTGCCCAACTCAACTGCAGGCCAAAGTATCTCCACTGCTTTCCCACTCGCAGCCCAAGGGTCACTTGGAGTTCCCGCCTCAACCCTTGTTTCCATCCATGCTTCAATTCCAGCTCCCACCTGTGGCTCAGGTGCAGACCCAGGGCCATCTCCAGTCCTCTCCACCAGCCCTGCCACCTTCTTACCCACCGAAGATTAGGGCCTGTGGAGTATCTTGCCCAGCAGCCCAGAATAAGCCACAACCTTGGATCCCCAGGGAGATTCAACATCCAGAAAGGCCCTTGTTGCAGAAGCAACTGGCAAGTGGGTGGGATTCATCCTCTGCAGTCAGAAGATCTCAGGAAGTCTTCAGTCCCTTCACTTCCAACTGCCCCAAGGACAGCATCCTTCCTGAGAATTTTCCAATCAGTCCCAAGTGCCAGGAGCAACAGGAGCATCACCTCCAAAAGTGGCCTATGCGACACAGCTGGGAGCTGTCCCCCAAGATCCAAGAACCTCTGGAACTAAGGCAACATCAGAGTGAAGTGCCAGGGACATGTCAGGCAACGGGCAAGCATGGGCCCTCCCAGCCCTCTTCATGCACAGCTGGAAGCAGCAAGGATGCACAGAAGGCGGGGCCCCCGCTCAGACAGGGTCCAGGGAAGGCCCCAGGGCATCTCCCCAGGGTCTCAGAAAGCTCCCTAGTGTTGCTTCAGAGGGTAGGCTCTGGGGAGTCAGAAAGTGACTTGGCGCTTTCCAGGAGTGACTCCGGAAGTGAGTTACCGAGGAACTTAGACAGACATCTAGAAAACGCCCAAAAAGGCCATGTGGGCGGCAGGCTGGGGCAGGGGAGTCGGAATCTGACCCCTGTGAGTGTGCATCGGCCCTGGCTTGCTGTGGGCCACTCTTCTGCCAACGCTGACACTCACATGGAAACCAGAAACCTGGGAACAATAGAAGGTAGGGAACCCTGCGTGAACACCTGCCGCGGGGTGTCCTTTCTCCCCAGGGACAGTCGAAGGGAGCTGGAAGCACATCTTACAAAGTTTTCAGTGAGGCACAGGTGGGGCCTGCCCCTCAAGCTCCTCAAGGCCATGAACCTCTTTAAGGTCAAAAAGGCTGTAGCCTCTCCTGGTCTGCAGCTCGCCTTTGTCCCTTCATCCACCTGTGCATCGGGGGCCTACTCGATCGTCAAGTCTGATGGGTCCCTGGGAAAACCTCCTCCGGCCTGTCCTGGAGAGAAAGTGAACACTGAAGAGTCAGTTCCCACCCTGGCGAGGCCTCTCCCGGCCCGCTCACCTGTGTGTGAGGACACGCAGAGTGCTCTGGGGGGGACCCCATCTGGTGATGACCATGGGTCTTCAACAGCCTCTCTGACTAGACGGGAGGGCAGGCCACCTTCTCAGTCTCTCTCACGCCCCTGGCAGAGTAGGACTGCAGAGTGGGTCGAGAGGGGCAGCCTAGGTCCCGGTCCAAGTTCAGCAATGGCCCGGAATGAGCCAAGAGGGAAGGGGCGGGGTGGGGCCTCACAAGGCCCCCCCCATAGGGTAACAGTGCTGGACATGAACTTAGGATCTCAGTCTTCGAGGACCAAAGAGGCCAGGGAGACAATGGAGGCCAGTTCGTCTCCTGCTCTTCAACCAGAGTTGGGAACCAATGTTCTAGCGAAGTCTGAAGACATGAATGCACACGTGAGGAGTTTAGAAGCTGCAGGGACCAGTGAAAGCTCCCTGTTCCCTCGAATGTCTGTTCTCCACAATCCAGGAAAGCCGTGCCTCAAGAAAAAGTTTTTTAATGAATTTAAGTCCAAAGGGAAGGTACAGTTTAAGAACCAGCCTCAAGACTGTCCCACACTCATGTCCCTTGCAGCAAATAACCTGGCTTCTCAGGTACCCCAGGGCCACAGCCAGAGACTGCCCACTGCACATGGGCCAGCTTCCCATGTGTTATGTGGCCTTAAGGCTTTCCGAAGGAGCAGCCTAAGGAAGCAGGAACCCAGAATCTCAAATGGTCAGGACACTTGGAAGAAGCAGATAAAAATGATTGCCCCTTTCTACAAGGGAGAAGAGTGCAGAAGGCCCAACCCGAGAGAGCACGCAGATGGGCCTGAAAAACTGGGGACCTCTCAAGCCACAAAAATGAGCCCCTCGGCCAAGGCTGAGGGAACAGGAGACGCTGTTGAGCAAGAGAAGAATCAGGATTTTCCAGAAAGTGTCTTCAGGCAAAGAATGAGGCTCTTTTGTCAGTGGATTTCTCCCCATAAGGAAATCAGTGGTGAGGATGCTCTGCAGAAATACAAGCCCAAATCAGCCACTGCCCAGAGCCAAGGACCAGGCAAAAGCAGATTAGTTATAGACAGCAAGATCCCTGAGGCTCAGACAGTCATAGCAGCTGTGGGACAGATTCTAGAGGAGAAAATGGCCATTCACCACAGACTTAATTCTACGAAGTTAAAGGGACACAAACAGGAATCTGAAGCCCCAGTGTATGGGTGTTTTAGGTACCCAGAGAAAGGGAGCATGATGAGTCATTCAACCTACAGTCACCAGGCCAACCCCCCTGCCGAGAGTTGTTTTGGCAGGGACAGGCAAGTCAGACACACAGAGTCCTTAACAACTGTCCAAGTCAATGATGATCTATCAGCCCAGAGTTGCCTCCCATCCATGCCCCCCAAGAAAACTATGTCTCCAGTCCATCCCCAGCAGTACAAGCCAAAAATGCCAGGTACCCGAGGCCACCATCAGCACTGCCCAAGGCACTGTCTTTCTCAAAGAGGTGTCTTGCCTGGTCACCGGCAACCATGTCTCCAGGAAAAAACTTAGTCCATTTTCTCATCAACACATTCAAAATGTTTAATCTTCCTCAATATATGTTTTTTGCTCCTAAGAAGTGTGTGCAATGGCTTCTGTCTGGTGTGCTTCTTAGGCACTTTGGCTTTGAGAGGGAGGGTCAGAGAGGGAGGAGCAGGGGGGGAGGGGCACAGAGGGAGGAGCATAGAGGGAGGCTAACCATGGCTCTGCCAGCACACCCCTGTCTCCTGTTTCTTCATGGCATCTTCTCTTTCCACAGTCCTGTCATCACACACACACAAACACTAAAACAAAATGAGAAAAACCATGAAGACCCCACCCTGGATCTGGTTCTTTCCCTCTACTTTGAACTTTGTGCAGCTGTGGTGGGGACAGCTTCCCGGGGCCATCACAGGGCTGGACACTGCTACCCAGGCTCCAGGAAGCGTCGGAGCCCAGCAGATGGAGGCTCAGTGGGGAGGGGAGTGGAAGCTGCTGGGCACTGAGTTTAGAAACGAGACATGTTGCCCCTGGATCCTTGGTGGGAAATAGATAATATCTGCTCTAAGGCCCCTTCTCTCCCTGATGAAGGCTGGGGTGGAGACGGCCCTATGGACCCCTCTTAGCTGAGCCTGGATAAAGTGTACAGCTCCCCTCCCCCCACCGCCTTTCCCACACTTAGAGCCCATGAGGAAGGCGCTTCCACTCTGAGTGTGTGAGTGGGAGCGTTGGGGTCTAAAGAGGACGGTGTCCCCTTCACCCCATGGCTGAAAGGGCATGGCCACGGTCACCTGCCTTCCCCTGTTAATCCTGGAGAAGGGGTTCTGCCGAATGGAGCGGGCGTGACTGTGGTGACCACCCACAGCCAGGCACCGTGAGCCTCAGATGGAACGTGGGTGAAGAACCGACCAGTTTGGATTCATGGAAGAAGAGAGTGGCAGAGAGCTCCTAAATGTGCAGTGACTGAGGGGGAGAAATGACATCCCAACACCGTCTACAGGCCTGGGAGTGGGGGGAAGGGCTGCACCCCAGGTCTTCACCCTCTCCAGCTCCAAGATCACAGACCCTAAGAAGCCATCTCTAGGGCCACATGTGAAAATGAAACAAACAGATCAGGGAGGGTCAGTGTCTTCACAATAGTTAATAAGCTCACACATCCTCACCTCCTGAATTCTAGAAAGGATGATGACAGGTGGAAGAGCCAGGACGAGGGAATGCAGGATGTCACACCCAGTATGGTGACCTTTACATACACACACGGCCTGGGAACTGCTCCATGGGAGATATGGGGACTTGAAAGGCTGAGAGACGGGCCCACCATCCCGGAGGAAGCCTTACCTGGCACTAGTCCTGCTCCCCCAGAGCCAGGCAGAAGAGATCATTGGACAGGATTTGTCACACAGATCAGTGGACGTGGCCTGCCAGAATGGGGGGTGCAGCCCAGAAGGGGTCCCTCTGTGCCCTGCTCCTAGTGCAGCCCTCCTCTCCGCCCCCACCACACAGCAAGCAGGAAGACAGCAGTGTCTCCAGAGTGACTGTGAGGGTGGGTGCAGCATGATAGCTCAGCCAGGACCTGTGGGAGGTGAGAGCCCGGGCAGAGAGGGCCTTGGGCCTCAGGTGCTCAGGACCTAGACCTGGCTGCTGCTGGGTGCTCTCGGGCACAGAGGGGTGAGTTCCTGGAGTGGGAGAAGCTGGATGAAGATGCCATGTTTCTGTCCGGAGAAGTGCCACAGGAACCTGAAGAAACGAAGCAGGAAGGAGCAAGTCCCTCTGCCCCGCCGATACCACTCAGTCTTCCATGAGGTGCAGGAAGGTCAACTATGGAGAGACCCACATGGGCCTCACACAGAAACACTTCCCAGCAGAAAGAGACCTCAGAGACCACTCCACAGACCTCTCACAGAGATGACACACAGAGACACTTACCAGCAGAAAGATGGAGACCTCCCAGACCTCTCCACAGATACCTCCCAGCAGAAAGAGGCCTTCAGACCTTTCCACAGAGACCTCTTTATCTCAGAGATGACACAGAGATGTCAGAGACACCTCCCAGCAGAAAGAGACTTTGCAGACCTCTCCACAGAGACATTTTTCTCAGAGATGACACACAGAAACACCTTCAAGCAGAAAGATAGAGATCTCAGAGATACCTCCCAACAGAGACTTCTCAGAGAGATGTCACAGAGACACTCTCCACAGAAACACCTCCCAACAGAGACCTTTCAGAGGTGACACAGAGACCTCACAGAGACACATCCCAACAGGGATTTCTCACACAAAGATTACTCGAAGACACTCTCCACAGAGACACAACTCACAGAGACCTCACAGAGATATCTCCCAACAGACATGTCTCACAGACACTTTCCACAGAGACCTCATATTACCCCACAGAGACTTCATACTAAAGCCACACCCAAATTTCACAGAGACTTTCTCCCAAGCATCTCTCTAACACAGACCTCACCCAGAGACAATACACAGAGACCACATGTGGCCTCACAGAGACCTCTCAGAAACTTCACAGAGAAACTTCATCTAGAGACAGGACACAGGGACGCCCCACTGCCCCACAGAGACATGGCACAGAGACCTCACATTCATTTTTTGGGATCCTGAGCATCATCCATTGGCATGTCCTTCCTGGGAATATGAAACTCCTTACTGAACTGGCAGCACCAAAGAGGTATCAGCTGTGCCCCCTGAGACCTTTGAGCCACTAGACATTGTCAGTATTACACTCAGTGGGGTGTCTGCTTGGGGAAATGCTTGGGAATTTTTGTCCATAAAATTATCATCTCTGAAAAAAAACTTGGGAATTCCATGTGTGGATTTGTGAAATCAATAGTTCCACAGGTTTTTGTTAGCTAGAGAATCACAAATTTTAAACACTGTCAGTCTCCAATGAGAAAAAAAATCTCTCTTGTTCAGTTTATTGTCCAGCCAGATGTTATCACTATCACATTTTTATTTTGTTGGGGACAAAACCTGAACTTGACATTGCTTACTTATTTCCTTTGGGACATAATGAAGGTTGCAGTAAATGGACTCTGAGAGAGAAATACACCAGAAAAGCGTCCTCTGGACCATGTGCACCTCCAGGGTCCAGTTCACTAGCACAGCTTTTGCACGTTAACAGCTTGCATCAGATTTGTGGTGGTTCTTTAATTTTTTAACAAGCTAACCATCATGAGGATTTCTCATAAATAAGTCAAATTCCTGGCAATATTCTTACTATATCATCTGGAAAAATTATATTTCTTATTTTATTCCTTAAAATGTAGTAATGCACTCAGATATTACTGCACATGTTCCAGGTTGACCCAGTCCTAAAGCTCAGCTAACATACTTAAAAGGATGAGCCATTAAGGTTTTATTTTTAAATAATTCTATGGAATCACATTTTCTTGCTTTCTTTTTTTAAACATCACCCAAAAATATTTTTTCATTGATTTTATTTCAGATACAGTGGGAGGGAGGAAGGAAGAGAAAGAGAGAGAGAAAGAGAGAGACATTGATGTGAGAGCGACACATCAATTGGTTGCCTCCGCATGACCCTGACAAGAACCAGCAACCAAACCACAACTGAGGTACGTGCCCTTGACTGGAATCAAACCCAAGACTCTTTGGTCTGCAGGCTGACACTCTAACCAGTGAGCCAAACTGGCCAGGGCTGAAACACACATTTTCCAAGAGAGCATCCATTTTGTATTAATTACAGAACTAAACAAGGACTCATGCTTAAAATAGATTTGAAATATTACAAAATGTATCTCCTAGTCCATGTTGAGAGACTTACAGCCTAAGGAAGGCACTGAGGAGGGGAAGCATTAACATCTGGATCGAAGGCAGCCTTCGTGTTAAAATTACAAACAATAAAAGGCCTCACATGTTATATATCCAGTACTTTCTAAAGGGCGCACTTTGATGAGACTATATATCTCTCACTGCTAATAAGCAACCTGTTGTCCTTGCCTTGGTAAAATCTCTGTCTCTTTCTTTGAAATTCTCACTGGAGGATATTTTTCCATTTATCTTCAGATACAGTTAGAAAGGGGAGAGAGAGAAACATTGATGTGAGAGAGACACATACAATCCTGACCAGGGACTGTGACTAAACCACAACCAGGGTATATGCCCTTGACCAGAATTAAACTCAAGACTCTTTGTTTTGAGGGTCAACACTCTAACTGCTGAGCCAAACCAGCGAGGGTGCTAAAATCTCTTTTAATGACAGTTGTCAAGTATGAGTCACTGGTTAAGTCAGATTAGCCAGCAGGATGATGGCCTCACAGTTCTTTCTCTATGAGGAGCAGGGCTGACACCAGGGCTCTTTTGGCCTATTTATTTAAACAAAAATTAATCATTTATTCTCTATAATTAACAAATGTATAACAATCGGTTTTTCTACTCTACTTTCTTAAGTCTTCAAAACAAAACAAGGGAACGTGGTCACGGATATCATCCAGTATTCCATCAGATTGTTTTTACAGTGTAACATATGCTGGTTACATTTGTTCATCAGAACAAAATGGGTCAATTAGGGAAAAGTTCATATAGAAAAATACTTTTCACAACTTGATTGTTTTAATGGGGTTTAAATAACTGATTAGCGAGGATTCCAAAATGGCAGCAGAGTGAATGGATGCTACACAGACAATCTCCCAGAACCAAACTGGAATTACTACTAAAATAAAGACAAATCATCAGGAAAAAGCAACAGAAAAGCAGCTTGTGAGGACCATATAACCAGAGACAATGAATCAATTCTGGTAAGACTGTGGAGGCACCAGAGGGGGACTGGGAGCCCGTGAACAGCAGCCGTCTTAGCTGTAAGCAGAGCCCTTGGGGTTAAAATCCCAAGCCCCGTTCACAGTGCAGAGGGCTGAGACATAGCACTAAAATATCCACAGCCACTCACCTTGGCTCTGGCAGAGGGTGGAATGGGCTGGAACTGTGTGGGGACACTCGGGATTTGGAGTGTACTCAGAATATTTGCAGGATGGTGGCCATCTTACTCCTTCCCAGGGCTC